ATACATGGTCATTAGATATAAATTACTGTAATTGTTACAGCTGTTTTATACTAACAAAGTTTGGCTCTCCTCTTTGTTATTTACATTTTAATAACTCACGTTCTGCTCACTTACAAATAGGGTTTAAGGCAGCCTTCCCTTTAGTAGTTCTTCTCCAAACATAGTAAATCTCACAAGTTTTCCACTATACTAGGTACTGTTTAATCCTCATTATCTACACAGAAACACATACAGACACTCAATAAGAGGCAGGAGTCCTCCATCCAATTCTCCAACAGTTGAGGTTCCTTGGGAACCACTCCTCCTCAGTCTTGTGGTCTCCTCTGTCCCCAGTGACCCACCCAGCCCATGCTGTCCCTTCCCCTGACCCAGAAGGAGCCGCTCTGCATATTCTAGGTGATGGGCTTGAGGCAGCAGAAATTCCGGAGCAGGTCCCCATGAAGTTGGGGAACAGTAGTATAAGAGGTCTTTTGGGGCCCAGGGTAGGCCACCTCAAAGGCATATTTTGAATTAAAGTTACTTGAGAAATCGCCAATGTAAGAAAGGACACTCTGACTCTCCTTTCTGTCTCCCTGAAAGCAGGAAATAAACCTCTTATGTGAAAGGTGCACCCCCTGTGTGTGGAGACAGAAGGACACCCTTATCACCAAAGATAGGGAATGGGGCTGAGAAGCCTATATAAACAAACCACGTTACTGCTTGTGCTCACTACCCCAAGCCCAAACTGGGTTTAGATTCTTCACTAGCTGGGTGCCCAGAACCCAAGTTCCTCTGTGCTGTCAATTCCTTACAAATTTATCGTTTCTTTGTCTAAAAAAGTATAAAAACTGCCTGCTTTGGTTACTTCTTAGAGCCCATTTCTCTGGGACCTCCATATACAAGAGTTAAAATTTGTGTCTTTTTCTCCTGTTAATCTGTTTTATGTCAATTCTATTATTAGTCCAGCCACACAAACTCAGGATGGGCAGAGAGGGAACTTTCCCCTCCCCAACAAGCCTATTGTAGAAAAGAAGAAGCCGTCAGGCAGGTGACCAGCAGTCCTCGTTTGCTTGGGCTGCAGGGGATTCTCAGGACATGGGACGCTGGGTTTACTGGGATGAGTTTACCTCACGGTGAGAATAGATCCCAGAACCCTGACTATTCAGGTCCCTGAACCCTGGCTGAGTCTTTGCTGGGCGGGGAGACTATCTTACCTGAGAAAGACACCTTGTTCCTTTTGGGCCCTGCAGCACTCTGGACTGGGTGTT